CTATTTTTATCCCAGTCTTCTGTAGTGCAGACTAAAAACCAAACTATTTTGTGAATTTGTGATGAAAAAAAGAGGAACGGTGGTGAAAAGTTTAACTCTTGCACTGATTTTTCATTATCATTAACTTAGGGGTCATATTTTACCATCTTGCTGAAATAACACTTTTAGATGACTATTACTTGTATTCGTTCTTAACATATACCAGATAGCAGGTTTTTGTACTTGTAGTTTTGCTGTTCAAAACATTATTGTTTTATGATACTATGAACAAATTCTGGACATCAAACAATTGTTGTTACATGAGCACAATTACATGTAAGGACAAAAAAATAGATATCTTCACAGTCACGTGTTTACAAAAATTAAGTAATTTTTTCAAAAATCTCAGAACAAGAAACAATTCTTTATTTGTTCTGATGGCTGTGTATTGTAATAGCATTTTTATAACAATAGAATTGACCATTATTATTGATTTGTTGCCTTATTGTTTTGCAATCTATTGTTATTTCTCTCCTATTGAAGCCAATTTACTACACTAATATTGAAAAGAGATCATCTAGGACAAGCGAAGAGCATGAAACTGATTGTTTGAATAGAAAGTCAAATAGCATCAATACTCTACACACCAATGTTACCGGAGAAACTAATGAGGAGATTAATATCGTCGCCATGGAAACTGATGTTCTGGATGAAGTTAATCAAAATAATATTAAAAATGAGGAGATAATGGATGAACAAATACACAAAGAGAAAAATGGTGAGAATGTTGCCATGGAAACAGAGTCTGAGTCTGAGAAATATAGGATTAAACAGTTAAGAAATGTAGGTATGGAATCCACATCATCAGTGACACAATCCTCACAAATTTCTGTTAGAACTACCAAATCTTGCACTGACTCTGAGAAAATGCAGATTGAACAGTCGCAAACATGCATCAAATCTGAGTCGATTGAAGAAATCCAAGACCAAGAAAAAACTGATGATGTAACTGCTTTATTGAAATCGTGTGCGAATACAAAAAATTCTACAGATAGATTAAAACCAGTGGAGAACATTGATATGGGTAGCAGGTCTACAGATACAGGGAGTAACTCTACCAAAGATACCGATATCATTCCGGGGAACTATAGTGATCTGGTCAAAGATTATTGCTTGGTTTATCATGACACAGACCTGGTAAGCTGCATGCTAATTTATCATGACCATATGAAGTAAAACAAATGTTATAACCTGATAAGGCAACACATACATTTATTATAATGACCATATAAGGTCCAACAACAACAAAATACCTTTCCAGGATAATTACATTTGTAATCCTCACATGTGTGTGTGCTATTTTTCACCAACTGTTGTTTTTCTAAAAAAACTATTTAAAATAGCTAAATACTTTATCTTCCAAGGAAGCACTCAGTTATTCTGAAATAATGTTTACTGAGTACTCAGTTGTTGGATTTTTAAACCTCAATACATCATTTCTAAAAGTGACTGTGTACTGTGTGCATTTTTGAACAATTTCAATTTCATAATAGCTGTAAATGTAGCTTGGACACTACAGGTCCCACGCTAATATTAATTTATTTGATGGATTTTTTCGCTAAACAAAATAACAATTTCTTGATTAGTTTATCTGCATCTCACTCTTTCTCCGCTCACCAGTTTCAACTTGATTCATTGATGCATTTTTTTTTCAGAGAACATTTAATGATATGAAGAACAGAGCACCTTGTAAAAAAACAAAGTTCAATAAAGCTTACCCGAAACCAGATCACTATCCTATTGAATCTATAAATAAGGTAGGTATACTCCTCGAGTTCAAACATTTAATTTGTGCATAGGGCATGTACAATTGTGTTGTTTATTGTTTTTGCTAATGTTTGTCTTGTTGTTGTCGTCGTCATCGTTGTTAACTCTTGTTGTTTCTTATGATTCTCCAGGTGTGTTGGAATCCTAATTTCAGTGTCAATCAGTGGATACTGACAGCCGGTCATTCAGGCATTGTAAGAGTCCATTACTTAGATGGTATGATAGACAATGCAAAAGACAAGAAGAGTTAATGCCTCAGTCATTAGACAGCTGTGCCTGCATGAAGACATTCAGTGAAAATCAGAGTTGTTTCATGTAACAAACATCGGCTCTATACTAAAAACTTTAAAAAATACAGGGAATATTAAAGAGACAGTGTCTGCACATTTTAAGTAATATTTTGTTGAAAAACTTATCATCCACTATCTACATCATTTAAAATTCGGTATGGAGTTGTTTGATGTGGCTCCTATATGTAACAATGCACATAGATGCGATGTGTGATGTTCCGAAAATGAATGTGCCTGACACTTTTAGACACAGGAATTTGACTCAAAGGATATATACAAGGTAGAATTTGATACACAGAAAAACAATCGCTCTTAGATTGGTCTGACTGTTCAGTGTTAGAATTGGATTGTCGTTTGGGTACAATTTCTTCTAAAGCGCGACTCAATATTTATTCCCTATTTGACAGCATGACGATTTTGAATAATGAACCTTAATTATATGTATTTTAACTATTTTTAATTAAAAATGGCAGTCACACTAGAATTTAACATTATGGAGAAACCACAAAGCCAATGTTTCCATTGAAACAAGTTGGCCACCCCGTCTTGGGCATTTATTCATTTTGCTCAGTAAAATATCACAAAATTGTACTGGTTTCAGTTTCTGAGTTGTGATCAGCTTTACTTTTAAACTCGTAATGTCGCAAACTCGTTATGTCGCTTTTATTTGTGAGCGTAAATTTTAGTGAATGTCATTCCTTGCAGACGCTTTCCTTGTAGGTTGTTTTCCACATCTTTTGATTTGAATTATTTTATATTGTACATATTTTAATTTATGAAGGTCTGCGAGTCATGGACATCTTACTGAATGGTATTGATGTATATATTATCATTTTCTTTAAACTATGAAATGTTCCATATGCCAGTTACGTCACTCAGCAGCCCGAGTACTCAACATTTACTCCGGTGATTTCTTTCTCCCTACTAATATCTGGATCTGCTACTAATATTTTGTTCATTAAGGCCAGACTTTTTTTATTCCTTGTTTCTTGAGTTTTTATATGACAATTTTTTTGAGGAGAGCGAGAAAAAAATAAAATTAATTCTTTTTTTCCATTAGATTTGTTTGATTCTCAAAGAATTGTAAGCGAGATCATTGATCGAGAGAAGAAATGAATTAAAATTTTATTCCATGAATTATAACGTTGTTTCTCATCTGCGCGAGACTGCGGTACTTTGATCATGATACTCCCACGAAAATGCAACTTGGATTTGTTATGCGGCGGGCGGTAAAAAAATGAAGATAAAAATAATATTTTTTGAGCATTTTTTTGCGCTTACAAGTCGGCGGGAGCGAGAAATTATGTTGAAATAAAATTTTATTTTTATTTCATTTTTGGCTCCTGTTCATTCGGTGGGTTCGCGAAACAAGGGATAATAAAAGTCTGGCCTAACCCCATGTAGATTTATTTTAAAAATAGAAAATGGAATGAATACACTCTCGTCTTTATG